TTTTAAAAAAAAAAAACCCAAAAACAAGGGGAAAACCTCAAAAAAGTTTTACTTTATTGTTTAACATAATGCCCTTTTTTAGCTGAAAAATTTTTGGAAACCCAGTTTTTTGGACGAAATATGTTAACTCCTGGGGGTTTTTTTTTTTTTTTTGAAATTTTAAAAAATTAAAAAAACTTTTTCCTTAAAAATAAATTTTTATAAAAACTTTATTTAACCCTTTTTAAACTATTAATTGTTTTAAAAAATAAAAAAAGCCTTTTTTTATGTTTTACAATATTTTGTTTTTGGAAATTTTAAATATCTTTAATAAAAAATAAGTTTTACCCCAATAAAAATTTTTTAAAAATTTTGGTTTTTTTTTGTTTTTAACTTTCTCAAAGTTTAATATACATTTTATAAATATCAAACTTTTAATTTCGGAACTATCACTAATTTGATAATAAAGTGAGTCCTTTTTGATGTTTAGCATTGTGTTGGCAATATAATCTTTATAAATAATTTTACAGAATAGACAAATCAGAAACGGGTTATACATTTTGTTTAATTTTTTTATGATTATTTCTCTTTCAAAAGTAATAAAAATCACTTTTCGATGTATGAAAAAAGTTTTTGTATTTTCTCTTTATTGGGAATTATGGTTAATGGAAAATGGTCGGATTTATGGTTAGGAACGTTGGGAAACTAGTTTTGGTCAGTAGTCAGTAACTGGTTGGAAATATGTTGGAAACGTCGCACGTCGTGACGTCTGAGCAAAACGTTGATTTCAACGCGCATTGTGTTTTGCTGGGTATATATCTTGTTTTTTATATTTAATTCTTGGTGAAAACATGGATCATCAATATAACACTATATTGGGTAAGCTAGTAAAAAATCTTGAACTTAATTTCAGTTATAAATAATTTGTTAAAAGGTTTTTTTTATAGCAAGCTCGAACGAGCTGGCGGCCGAAGGGCTGCCTCGAGCAAAGCGAACTTTACGGTAACGCGAGTACCTGCTAAGTGATGGTTTTGAAAACTTTCGTCCGAAGTACCGAATTGGACACATCGCAACTTTTCGAATTACAAGATAACGATAAAAGCCGATGTACTCTGATTGAAAACGGAAGAGTAAGACTATGGACTAAGTTTATTTCACGAATTGTATTTGAAGAAGAAGTGAAAAATTTATATATTTTATTCCATTATAACGTCATAACTGCGGCATATGTACGTTATCGGTCATTATATTCTCAAACGTAATCACAATATTATCACTATGGCAGCGATACGTCATCAAAATGCTACATTTACGTCATCATTACGTCATCATATTAAGTAACATCACCATTATTATTTTTCAAATCGTTCCATTACTGTCTGTTTTTCACCGTTTGATAACAATAACCTAAGAAGAAAAAGTATAACTATTTTATTTCCAAAGAAAATATCAGTTCTAGAAAAGAGAAATTATTAAAAGGTTCCGGAAAAAAATAAGTAAATTCTAAAATTTAGCCACTTGAGTAAACAGAACAAACCGTATGGAAAAATTTATATATTGCATTTACTTACGCTTTCTTTGTCTGCTTTATGGAATATATTGTTCATTTTGTTCTCCATAATAAGCCATTTTTAAGGTTCTTTATACAGTGTAGTCATTTTGATTTTTCACTCGATAAGAGCTAAGCAGTGTCTGCTAAAGCCACAAAGATTTGTTTCTGAAATAAAATGTTTCTTTTTTGTTATGATTTCTTGTGAATAATTCTATTTTAAGTATGATACTTTATAAAAAGATATGGAGAGAGTTTGCAAAAAAAGCTTAACAAGCTTCCTACTCAATCCGTAAATTTTTATTTTATGTACTTTATTATGTAAATGTGTGGATTATAAATACAATATTGTTTAAACTAAAAGACATGTTGTTGAATGGCAACCAGATTGTCATACATTGAAAGCGTAGAGCTACGATGAAAAATTGAAATTGTACTCTTTTTTTATTTTATATAGAACATAGCGGGGCAACCTTAACGCATTCTAACTATGCTGCCTACTGTGTGATATAAGTAAAAAGGTCATGGGCAGAGCAGACCATTTCATATACTTGACGTATCAACAAATTCATCAAATTATAGTATAATGTCAGTCTTAAAAGTTTTTTATAGCTATGTGAATCCGTTTTAATATTCCTTGAAAAGAGCAATTAACAACAATCATAACACTACATTTCAATGAAAGAAAATCCAATGCAGAATCAGTCAGTATGTGCGATCTGATTATGGTTGGTACTGTTCGCTCCTCAGTTAATACTTATTTTGGAAATTTTTCGACAAATAAAACATGATTTTGCCCATGGCGAACAGTCCATTTTATATAATTAGTGAGGTAAGGTCTAAAATATATTGAATAATATTACGCTGCATTCTTTGAGATGAAAAAACAAACAAAACAATTTAACTATATTAGAATAAATGGTTACAAGCTTACTGTGCTGGATGACAGTAGGTGTAAACAGAGAGCGTTGACAGTATCTTGCATTTACTTAGTACCGTCAACATTTTCGAATATTGCCTTTTTGGACGTTTTTAAAGGATGCATTTATTCTTTTTTTCATTTAAAGATCGTGTCATATTTTGGAATTGCTACATTGTCACATTTAAATACCCCTTTTCAAGTTTCGGCATTGTCTCATTGCACTACAAAACCATACAAAGAGAAAGAGAGATGGTCAATATTCGATATCTTTTAACGTTTTCTTTACAACATGTTACAAACTGATCGTTGAACATATCAAATAACAGCAGGAAATGTTAAATGAGTTGACAATCAATAGACAAAAAATGTCCCCTTTAGTTACATGCACAACCAAAATATGTAGGACTCTCAATTTGAAAGATAAAAAGAAAAGATAAAAATGTTTGCGAGCAATGACGTTCAACATATCGATTATGTGTCATCTAGTGATTGCTGTCCTGTGTTGTATTGCTTTTCATTAAATGATCACATTGAAGTGGTCTTATAATGATTATTAATGATAAAAATTAATCATTTAAACTTAATCTTATTAAGAGTTGTAAGGTTAAAGTCCGAAATGTCTAAAAACGTATGAGTCATTATTTGCAAAACCATAAAAATCCTATACTGGCGGCCATATTTACCACAGTATCTTATGCCAGATATTATGTGTCAAAGATTGTGTTTGTTTGTTTAAAACACATAAGAATAGCATATAACTCTAGATATTGCATTATTTTGCAAAATATTGTAAATTGACTAACGGTTATCTCAAAATACCGGATTTTGGCGGCCATTTTGAATTTTAGCCGCCATTTTGATTTTTAGGCTTGGGTCTGGATCCAAATCAGCTAGACAGACATCTGGATCCAAATCAGATAGACAGACATCAAACTAGGATATTCCAAAGTGGTTTGCTTGTAAAATTAAAAGAACGATTATATGTACTTTGACTCTAACTACTATGTAATAAGCGCAAGCTACCAATTAATAATGTAAAAATTCACAAGTGGTATAAGAGGTGTAGTGCGAACAAACCCGTATAATCTGCGCAATAACTTGGGCTATTGATCATTTCTTTAAAGTTTTATTGAAATTGTATTTGTGGTATGAGAGGTGAAATCCGGACAAACTTTAAGCAAAACAAATAATTAAAGGACCATAACTCTGACAAAATATCATTAAACCAAACAAAATGCGATATATTGCACACTTAGACTTGGTATTGATCATTTCTGTAAAGTTTGGATGAAAATGAAATAGCAGTTTTTAAAGAGTGGTTGTAAAAAACAAAAAATACTTTTTTTTCAAGAGTCATAACCCAGCTTAAATCAGTGAAATATGAACAATAATTTGTGCTGCAGTAAACTCAGCAGAACGTTTCATTGAAATTGCATCAGTGGTATAAGAGAGTCTGGACAAACTTCAAAAATAAAAATCATTAAAAGGGCCACATCTCTAACAAAAAATCATTAAACCGAAAATGATGAGGATATGCACAACTAAACTTGAAACTGATAATTAATGTTAAGTTATGATGAAATTTTACCAATGGTTTTTGAGGAGAAGTCCGGACAAGTTTTGTGTCACACAGACAAAGGACAACAGAGAAATTATCCCTACATGTGGGCACTACTCCGTAGAAGCGACAAAAATCCAGTCAATGCGATTAAACGTTTACCTATGTTATGCGTTTAAATTAATAAATCATACACGTGAAAACGTTCTCTTCTAAATTCTATCAGAACATGAAACGTTCTCTTCAAATTTCGTTCATTACACTAACAATAATTTCATGGAACGTGATATAAATGAACGGTGAACTATTTTACCAAGACTATCGCGGTTATTTTTAACATTTCAATACGTTTAAATAGCTATAATACACTCTAGAAAAAATCGATACAAATATAAGAACATATATATATTTCCTCTTATATTTTTGGCTTGGGTTTATTTCACACCGACAGCGTAATAGTATTATAGCGATTTTACTGGTAGACAATATAAGATATTATTTTAGGCATAAGCTAGCACCTGAGAGAAACCAGCAACGGTAGCGGTATATCTCCCTTACATGAAATAATTCAAAAGTCTCTGGTGGAATTCTAACTAACAGCGTTGAGTTGAAATTTATTTGAGTCAACGAGCTTTAAAACTCGTTTTTTTAAACGAAATACATACGAGCGATCAAAATGAATCAAAATAACTTATAAATTAATACTTTTAAAATAAAAATGATGAAATGCATTATAGAATTTTCCCTCTAAATAATGTGTCAAAAAGCTTATTTCAGATGTGCACTATACATTTTATCGTCGGCAATAAACGTTGTGCATTATCTTACTTAAACATTGATAAATCAAATATATTGATTTAATCAGATAAAGTTTTAACCTTACCTGCCTTATCTGTTACAAATTGTCCATTTACATGTTTAACGCCTATTATATTACAGTGTGTACGGTACACAAAGGAATGAGTTCAAGATATTATGAAAATAAGACAGGGATGGATATTGACCGTGAAAGAATAACATCAAAATTACTATCACATATATTGGATAAAAATGGTTTGAATAAATATGCTTCTGAATTATCAGAGAGGAACATGCACATGAAAGAGTTCACTGAAACATTTCTTTGTGGGTCATACAACATGGCTAGTGGTGGTTCTGCAGAAGGAACTAAGATACAAGGGGGAGATGCAGACCTAATGGGAATTTTGAAAGGTGTTGAAGCCTTAGAAATACACAAATATATACCAAAATTTGGAATTGAACTGCTTATTGAAAGAGATGGATGCAGTCCAGGTTATGTGAAACTGGTTTGCAGGAAATTTGACATGTTAGACCTTTCAGTAAATATACCAAATGGCACACTTGGTCGACAATTTGTATCAATGTTACCTGAGTTAGAGACGAAATTTGGAAATGAGACATACATATCAAGTACTCAATTCAAAAAGTTTATCCATTGGAATGAATACATATTCCCAGATAAGTTTACAGACACGGCTATAACAATTAGTGGACATCACGTAAAAGTAAAAACTTTACTTGGGGAAGTGGACTATGTTACAGCAATAGAATGTGGCAGTTGGCCTAAATGTGCACATGAATGGCTTAACCGTTCAAGAAAATATCAATGGCCAAGTAAAGAGTTTCTACAATCTTTACAAGATAAATGCAAGTGCTATGTTGTACCTACTGGAGACGACTCTTCACCCATTGCAGACATACAATGGAGACTATCATTCGTCACGATTGAACGTGAACTTGTTTGGCAAATGAATGATATACAGTTGAAATGCTTTATTATTTTGAAGATTCTGATGAAAAACGACACACCTGCATTACCAAACAATACACTGAAAACGTATCATTTAAAAAATGCAATGTTTTGGCTGGTAGAAGAAACACCAGCAGAACAATGGAGCGCACATTTGTTGCATGCACGAGTTATTGAATGTTTGGAGAAGATAATTCAATATGTTAGAAATAAATGCTTACCTCATTATATATTGCCAGAAAATAACTTGTTTAGAAACAGATTTATGACTAGTGCTGAAACTAAAGATACAATAACTTGTTTAGAAAATATGCAAGGAAATGTTTTGAAGATTGTCAGAGACATGTATGCTTCTTCTGAGAACATTTTCAATGACCAAAGGGTTTTCGATTATTTCAACAACGATATACGAAATTTAATAATTGTCATAAGTTTACGATGCAGCTCTAGTCATATTATTAATTACAAAGAGAAATTTTGTCAAAAATTTGCGAAAGAAAGTAAATTGGTAGTTGAAGGTATAAATGTAGCAATTTCAAAAGCTATGTATATCGAAAGCACAAACAACAAAAGCAAAATAAGGGGCGTATCTGAAGAAATTAAACTGTATCTTTGTACCACATTAAAGACGACTGCTCTGAGTTACCTTTATAGGGCCCTTTTTGAATTTCATAGCAGAAATTATACAACTGTTATAACACTCATTAAAGTTATTGCTTCAAAGATGAAGGAATATGGTTCACATTTGCAAGATGTGAGATTTACTAATGCAGATAATGCCTACCTTCCAGACTTCTTAATTTTAGAACAAAATATTAAAGGCAACATGTGTGTTACCAGAATGATTCAACTTACCCTTTCATTACTACTTATGTTTCTTTCAAACTATCATTTAAGAAATATACAAACATGCCATCATTGTAGAATTCAGGGGTCAATAAGGTTCTAAGGGGATTGTACATTCGTTTTACTCTGAATTGAGAAACACGTGTTGCTGTTGTTGTACTAGTTTTTATTATATAGGCACATGACCACTATATTTTTAGGTAACAACATTAGGTTACAAAACACTAAATCAATTACAACAGTGAATACCTAACATACCCCCATACTTATTTAACAGTTATCATTTACTGCTTGATAAATGTCACTCTTGTTAATTAACTGAAAGTAAGTGTTCAATAGTTCTAACCAAATTAACACTGTATCATTTGTATAAACACATGTGCTGAACTTTGTACAAGTAACAGAACTCTATAACAATTACAGCAAAAATTACAAAATTAGGTACAACACTAAAAGAAAAAAAACGTTTAAAACAAAAGCTTTGATTGTATAATCATTGTTATCCAGAAACTAAAGTAGCAACTAAATATATGTATTCACTAAAGATCAGTATCTCCAATAGACTTCAGTACAAAACTTTCTTTTTAATAAATGTACACCATTTTTTATGAACATTAAACTTGATTAAAATAAAAATATCTGCTGACATGATTCTTTCATTCGCACACAATTCACACTTAGGGGATTATTATGCCCCTTTAACACTGATTTGATTCACAAATTTAACTTATCAGGTTTCTTTATTGTGCGACTTGAACGTCGAAGCTCAGTAACAGGCAGATTTGCAGAAGTTTCAGGAACAACTGGTATCTTTGTTGGTTGCTTAACAACTTCAGCCGGAATCTCAGATGGTCGTTCAGTAACTACCAAATTAGGATCTTGTGACTGTAACCTTGACGGATAAACATCAGCTGCTCGAATCTGATCTGCGTGCCGTTTCCATGATACACCAGGACTAATTTCTACTCTATATGAGACCGGACCAGTTTGCGTTTTAATTACTCCTGGAATCCATTTTTCATACTTTTCACGATAATCACGTATCATAACAGTATCCTCCACTAAATAATTTCTATCAGATGTAGATCTTACCATTTTCGATTGCGCTTTCTCAACCCGATTTTGTAAACTTGGTCTGAATTTATCGAAACGAGTAGTAAGTGTACGCCCAAACATCAGTTTTGCAGGTGTCTCCTTTGTTGTGCTATGCTCACTATTTCTATACTGCATTAAAAATCTAGATAATTTTGTCTGTAAAGTTCCAGAGTCATTTTTAGAAGCTTTTAATGCTTGTTTAAATGTTTGCACAAATCGCTCTGCCAATCCGTTTGTTTTTGGATGATATGGTGCTCCTCTAATATGTTTAACACCATTCTGACTTAAGAATTTCTGAAATTCATCACTAATGAACTGAGGTCCATTGTCGCTCACTAGTTCATCGCAAATACCAAAATCTGCAAATATTGATCGCAAAATCTCTATTGTCTTCGAAGTGGTTGTTGTTTGCATAATTTTAACTATTGGCCACTTTGAATAAGCGTCGACTAACACAAAAAACATGTATCCCATAAATGGACCTGCGAAATCAACATGAACTCGAGACCATGGTCTACTAGGATATTCCCACGGATGTATTGGTGCTTCCGGTGGACTGGACTTTGACATCATGCACCCAGAACATGACTGTGCGATGCTCTCTAGATCAGTGTCTATTCCGGGCCAATACACATAGCTACGAGCAAGGGACTTCATTTTAACTATACCAACATGTCCAACATGTAGCTCATTAAGAACAGCTTGTCTTAATGTTGTGGAATGACTAATCGTATACCCCACATTAGGCAACCTTGGTATACAGAAAGTTCTTTGAATCTAGTTTTGTAAGGTTCATACACTCTTGACATTTCACTTATTTCATGTCCTTTGATTACATGTTCATACACTTTTGACAGAACTAAGTCTCTTTGTGTTGCTTAAGCAACTTGATTGCTTGTAATAGGTAATTTATCAAACTGGTGACTGTAAAATATGTCAGTTTCATCTAACTGATGACTTTCAACATACTGCAATGGCAATCTAGATAATCCGTCACAGTTACCGTGATGCTTTGTGTACTTATACTGAATTTCGAAACGGTATCCGCTGAGAAATAAGGCATATCGTTGCAGTCGAGCAGCTGTAGTCGAACAAATGCCTTTCTTCGGACCAAAAAATTGACAAGAGAGGTTTATTATCCGTAATCAAACAGAAAACTCTCGACCAAATACATATGGATGAAATTTCTTAATTCCCCAAACTATGGATAAGCCCTCTTTATCTATTTGACTATAGTTTCTCTCCGCGGATGAGAGACTACGAGACGCAAATGCAATTGGTCGTTCTGTTCCATTCGGCAGTCTATGACTTAGTACGGCACCAAGGCCAAAAGAACTCGCGTCACAAGCTAAAATAACTGGCAAGTCTGGATCATAATTGACCAACACAAGATCTGACGTGATCATTTTCTTGACTGTCTGAACTGCCTTATCACAATCACTTGTCCATTTCCAACGTGCATTTTTTCTGTAGTAATTGGTGTAATGGATGTAGTATTGTTGAGAGATTTTTCAAGGAATTTGGCATAATACTGTACTAGACCTAAAGAATGATCTCAGATCTTTCACATTCTTAATTTCAGGTGCATTTACAATTGCAGCAATTTTTGCATCTGTCTTGTGGAGTCCATCCGCATCAATTTCATGCCCACAAAATTCAACTTTTGGCTCCATAAACTTACATTTCTCTACATTTACGCGAAGACCATACTCGTCTAACCTCTTTAATACTTGTTCAAGGATTTCAAGATGTTCCTTGTCATCAGATCCCGTTATGATCATATCATCAAGAATAACTTGAACATTAGGAATGTCTTCCATGATCTGCTCAATTAACCGTTGAAATATAGCTGGCGCGGAAGCCACACCGAATACAAGACGGTTGTACCGGAATAAACCTTTATGAGTTGATATCGTTAAGAACTTCTTACTTTCATCATCAACTTCAAGTTGCAAGTACGCGTTTTTTTAGTCAATTTTAGAGAATTTCTTGCCTTTCCCTAGAGATGCGAAGATATGTTCAATTTGTGGAAGAGGATGCTGGTCGACTTCTAAGACTGGATTGATGGTGACTTTAAAAACACCACATATCCTAATGTCCCCATTTGACTTAGAACTGTACTATAGGAGTAGCCCATCCCTGTGAGTAACTTTTCAAGAACACCTTCACTTACTAAACGTTCTAACTCAGCTTCAAATTTTTTACTTTACTGCAAAGCCACAGTCCTAGCTTTATAAAATTTTGGATTTTGAATTCGGCTTCAGTTTTTAAGTAGCTTTGTAGCCATTTTACTTTGCCTAAAGTACTTTGAAAACATTTGCATATTTAGACTTCAAATTTTAACTTTTTCATTACATCAATACTATTCACTTCTGAATTGAGTGACTTAATTTTCATGCCAATTCAAACTGTAACCTCCGTAACCCACTCGCGTCCGAACAACGTCTACTACCATGTTCCACTACATACAAGTTCAACATTTCACATTGCCCATTTTGTTCTACTGTACATTTCATGCATCCAACTGGTTTCAACACTTCCCCAGAATAGGTTTTCAGTTGTATATCAGTTTTTTTTCCAATTCCGCACTTGGCCAGAGTCTAAAACAATCCTCCTTAGATATTACCGACACACCCGAACCTGTGTCTAGTTCCATTTTCAAGATTTGTCCATTCACAGTAGGAGTTACCCAGATAACTTTCTTATAATTTCCCTGATCATCGTGATCCATTTGAAATAAGCAATGTCCAAGATCTAAATCATCTCCTCTATACCATGAACTTGCCCTTTTTATTTTTACTTTTATGTCCTTTTTGCTTTTTTGGAACATTGTCAAACTTGTTTGTCCTACATGCAGGTGAAATATGTCCCTTTTTACCACAAAAGTTACAGATCGCATCTTTAAAACGACAAGCATCTGGGGTGTGGTTTTTACGATTACATCTGTAACATTCCCTTTGAATTAGGTCCTTTTTTATTTGTACAGGTGTCTTGTTAAAACTAGATGTCACTTTATGCATAGATGCAGCGCCGCCTGCCGTTTGATGCAACTCTTTAACGTCCTTTTGTGCACATTCCATAGAGATGGATAACTGAAGAGCCCTCTCGTACGTTAAATCTTTCTCACTCAAGAGTCGTTTCTGAATATTTTCATTTGTCAACCCACAAACTAGTCTATCTCGAAGTGCATCATTTAATCCCTCTCCAAATTTACAATGTTGTGAAAGCTTTCGTAAATTCACATTAAAATCACTAATACTTTCGTCAGCCCTTTGGTCACGCTTCCAGAAACGGAACCTTTCAGCAATAAACAAGTGGAGCAGGATTGAAGTGGCTCGATAATAGTGTTGTTAACTCAGCGTATGACTTGTCCTTTGGTAAAGCTGGAGATGTCAAATCTCTCAAAGTTGAGTAAGTTTTAGACCCTACCAGGGCCAGGAGAGCTGGTACCCTTTTGTCATCAGCAACATCATTAATTATGAAATACTGATCTAGTCTTTCCATATAACAAGTCCAGGATTCGCCACTAAAGTCGAATGGATCAATTTTGCCAATTAAGGATGACATTATTTCGGATAATCAATTACGGATACTACAAAGTTCAGTAATTTCGTTGCATATAATGTTCTTAGAACCACAAAACCATTTAGCAGATAATTTGCTATAACGTTTTCCTCGTCGCCACTGTAGAATTCAGGGGTCAATAAGGTTCTAAGGGGATTGTACATTCGTTTTACTCTGAATTGAGAAACACGTGTTGTTGTTGTTGTACTAGTTTTTTATTATATAGGCACATGACCACTATATTTTTAGGTAACAACATTAGGTTACAAAACACTAAATCAATTACAACAGTGAATACCTAACAATCATGTCATAAAAGAGTTGTCGGCTACATAAAACAGCAAGCCTGTTCAAAACAAAAAAAGCTATTTTACCCCGTCAATTTGAACTGTTTAGGCTATTGTTATCTTTTGCTCGGAAATGAGGTATCTGCTTATGTGACGTTTTGTAGATCGTTGCTGATTTTGCCATCGGTTGTTAATGCTGCCTTGTATCACATTGCGTGCATGATAAATAAAAGACTGTCAGTTCGCTGTTAATATTTTTCTTGCTTCTTTTTACAATAAGATGTACTAATGTATCAAATGAATAGATATTTCACATTAGTGTGGTTTGGATTTTGTTGTTATTTCTGCCTATCAATATTATGTCAAATATTTTGCTACTTTCATTCGCAATCAACAGCTAATTATATCAATAACAACTTAAAAGTACTCCATTGATAGCAATAAAAAAGAGAAAACAGTAAACGTCAATCAAAAACAGCAATTAATTACATTGACTGTTAACAATATCGTCTATTTAAAAACATTTTTAACCAAAAATTCATACACTATTAAAACATTAGATCCTAGCCATTAACTTTTAAATTAATTTGTTAAAGAACACTTAAGGCTTTTTAAAAAAAATAAATAAAAGATTTCTGGCCTTTACGGAATAATCTTTTAGATAGTAACCCACAACAAAATCGAATTAAAGTTGACCAAAAACAAATGTTTGTATTACATTTAATAAAATAAGTAATATAAAATATATATATTATTATATTAAATATTATTATTATATATATATATTTTATTAGCAATGAATAATTAGATGCTGCAAACATATCACCAATTTATATTGGAACGGGGAACCTAGCATTACCTATCATTTAATTATTATAGATAAAAAAAGTAAAGGTAAACAGTACTCAAAACGACTGAAAGGTTTTTCTTGCTAAAGGAAACAAGGATGTCTGTGTCTATGGGTTTTCTTTAAATTATGTATTTTCTTATTTCCTAAAACAATTTTTTAAATATTAAACTTTTAAAATTTTCCAAAAATAGAAATGAACAAAAAAAAAAAACAAAAAAAACAAAAAAAAAATTTCAGGGAATGTTAATACTTTTGATATGAATTATGATTTTGGGTTTCGTTCAGTTTTCGACCGTACTAAGGCCTTTTTAAAATTTAAACCCATTTTTCCCTTTTTGGGTTTAGCAAGTTATCCCCTTTTAAAGAAGATGAAATATAATTTTACATGGTACGCTATTTTTGACAAATAGTTTACGCAAACCGTTTTTTTACCAAAGTGTACAACAGTTTTTTAAGTTCAATAAAATTGCTTTTTGCTGCAGAGGAAAAAATCTTAGTTAATTTTATAGAACAGATAACTAAGGAATTTGTTTATTGCTGCATAATTACATAAATACCCGGTTAATGGACGTAACCCTTCTGTTTATGTTGTGACGAATTGCAATTTCCCTTTCATTGTACACGTCATGCCATATATTCCATGTTAAATTATTAAATCCTTAAAAATCAACAGCGGCTTGTGAAGAACTACATCAAGGCTATGCGTGTTTCACCATGAACTGTTGGTTTCAACGAAATAATCCTTGGTGTTGAATTACACAAAAAAGAGTGTATTCAAACCTGAAAATTATCTTCTAACAAAAAATGAGACTGAAGATCAACAAGGCAAAGGCAACATTCACAGGACGTAGTCCTAAAGAAAGTCTGATTGATTATATAACAGGTTTTAGCTTAAATAACATAGTAGGCGAGGGTATGGTAACGACTGTTTCATATTCAGTAAGGATCCTGTTTCATATCCAGCAAACGTACCGAGTCAATTTGTGTTAAACAAAGGCGATGACAGCAAATTTATATACATGTAATGTATTTTGAGAAATAATGCTCATATTGAAATTTATTATTAAGTTTATAAAGTTTCATCAAAATAAGAAGGAACTTACTCATAATTGTCAACTGCAATTTAGCAACACAAGATTTTGAAAAAGTAATTCATCACTACGTAAACAACCATGAAGGAAATAAATAAACAAACAAACAAACAAACATAAAAGAATAATTAAATACTTGTCCTGCAAAGAACTAACTAAAAGCTATTTTAAAAGATTTTTAAAATCATTCCAAACCAATCTGAAAACTGTTCCAAATATGATGATAATAATGATTTAAATATCAAAGCATGAACACCATTAGAGAAAATGTCAAAGTTGGCGACAGCTCATCCCAAAACATTGGAGAAAATAGTTAAATATAAATAAATACAATATATGTATCTTGTCAAACATCGACTGTAGTGAAGAAGAACAACTTGATACTTAAGACAGTAACAACTGATTACTTTATTTATGCAGTTTTAAAACATTTTACTGAATATTCAAATTGAAACAAAATGAAATTAACATTCATGTGTTTGATTTGGCAGTTTTGTATATTTCAAATTAAGACCATCCAGAATTGATATATAGCTGTACATTCATGTTGCAAAATTTATGTTTAAATAAAAAACATTCCACAAGGGTTGCATGTCTCAATGGTGTCACTTCTTGTTAAATAAAATTCATCAGCGCCAACAATTTATAAGGATTCATCTGACAATTTTATTTCAAAGATTTAAATCAAGATGCATCACAGATGTGCATTTGAACATGTGAAAAGTATGTGCAACTTTTGAGTTGTAAAATTAATCAAAATCAAAGGAACTTTTTATAAAAAAATTAAGCTTTTTGATAGAAAAATAGCTTTTTAGAAAGACGTACATAATGACATGCATAGTATGACGTAAAATTAGTATTGGCATAGTATACATTTTTGCTTTTTATCTGGATACTTCCATGTCTGGGGCGTCCCGTGGCCGAGTGGTTAAGGTCGTTGACTTCAAACCACTTGCCCCTCACCGCTGGGGTTCGAACCCCGACAGGGACTTTGGATTCTTTCATGTGAGGAAGCTATCCAGCTAGCTTACGGAACGTGGTGGTTCTACTCAGGTGCCCGTTCGTGCCTGAAAATAATGCACGGGAATGGACCGCGAGGTCTTTCTCCACCATAAAGCTGGAACTCGCGATATGACCAAAACTGTGTCGATTGAGTAAACACAAAACTAAAAAAAAAAACAAAAAAAATTCATGTCTTAATCAAATAAACTTTTATTTTAAAATTTTTGAAATAAAAATATTAAAAATTTAACATTTGGGATGAAAATTTTAAAAACCAGAATTCCATCTTTTTGTATCTCCACAACTTTTATTTTCTCCTGTTTTTTAAAAATACCCGAATAATTGAAGGGTTCAGTCTGCAACCTCAGGCCAAAATGTTGTAAACCCTTACTACTTTCCCTTAAATAAAAGGGGTTTTTTTTTAAAAAAAAATTTCGATTGTCTAGAAACAAAATTTTATTTTGATATAAAAATTTTTTTAAAACAATAATAAAAATATTTAATAACTTGCCAGATATATTATTAGTTATGAATATTTTGACAGGTAATAATGGCTCTATATACATGTTGTTTTCATATATGTATAACACGAACCGCTCGGCAAAGTCTATGTTGCAAACAGTCGTTTATATCCGATAAAATACAGAAAACTTTCTTTATCGTAGAAGCAAAGAAATTACTTCATGAATTGGCGGCAGCCGTGTATATATATGTATTTGATATTATATCATTTAATCAAAAGCATCGTTAAAAACGTATATCATTATGAATAAAATTATATTACATTTGTACACCATTTGGCTGCATCATTTATCAATGCAATATGTTTTTCAAATCAGACTCTAATGGTGTTTTGCTGATAAATTGAAATTACATGTAATGCTAAAAATAATAACTATTGCAATTTATTACAAGATATCTCAACATGCATTTTATTGTCAACCTTCTCTGTTGTTACAATTTTGTTTGTGTGCTGTATTTTTGTCTTGTCATACATATTATATTATAGTGTACATCCTCAAGGGTCATGCTGCTTTACGTTATTCGAAATAAAAATACATATCAACTTATTTCTAACAGAAATCAGAAGACATAGTTTCAATTTCCTCTCGGCCAAAACGATTAACGTACCTGTGGAAATCTGGCTGCACATACAAAAGTGATGGGTACAGCTGATAAATGGAGACGCGGATAGTGTATGGCTTCTTTATGCCCCATTTAAAACAACAACGTTTCTATAGTTATCTGAATAAGAAATAAATAATACCATTTATTGTCACGTTTGATTGCCTGTTTCCCCCTCTCAAGATAACAAACCCTAATTTAGACGCGTTTGGTTTGCTTCTGACTTTCTCTGATAACTCTTAATAAGCAAAGACGCTTGCTATTTATATTAGATATCTGGGTTTCGAATCCCGGTCAGATCAACCATAAAATCTTGTAGTTTGTAGGTTAAATTACTGATGTGAAAATTATTTAAAAAATGGCCCAAAATATGCAATAAAAAGTATGCTTATGATTAAATAATTAAAAAATAGTACATAAATGATCTTCTAATGCATGCGGGGTTTTTTGGCGCTAAAGTTGGCGGTGAAATATCCAAATTGCAGAGCCAGGCTTTGAGCGGGGATTAAACACCATACAATTGAGCAGAAACTTAACGGGATTCCTCGCTTTTCCCTGGTACTTAAGGGACAGTGGCTACAACTGACAAATACATTACCAATGTCAATGATGTTGGAATACGAGTAGCACCGGAACCACCTATCACTAGCTTTACATCTCCTTTCTTATCAACAACAATACTAGGGCACATTGCTGTCAGGGCGCTCGGGTTCTGCTAAAATTTGGGTTTTTAAAGGCGGACTGTTGTATTCTGTTAAATTTTTAATGAAAATTCCTAATTGATTTTATTAATAAATCCCATTTTTTGTCCGGACGACTTTGACCCAAAGTTTTAAAAAAATTAATGATATTTCTAGAAAAAAAAAAGATTTACACATTTTTATAAAAAAAAATTTCGCATATTCAAATGCCGTTCGTTAGAAAATAAATGTCAAACGTAATTTTTTATCCCCAAAATTATTTTTATGTTAATAAAGCTTATAGTATTTTTTTATATTGAAATACAGTCTTCAACAATTTTTTTTTTCTGGGTATTTTAAAAATTCCCCCTGACATTCTT